CACTTAAATCTTTTAACAAATATTATTTGATTCCATATCTCGGCTATTGTGACTAATTCTTCAAAGAACATGGGTACGCAGATGTCTCTTTGCAATACTGATTTCATTTCCCTTCGCTATACACCCAGAAGTGTATTACTGGATCATATGGTAGTGCTATTTGTAATGTTTTGAGAAACATCTATACTGTTTTCCATAATGGTTATACATTTCAGTTGTACAATAAAGGCTGAACATAATGGTTGTACAATTACATTCCCATCAACAGTGCACAATGATTCCCTTTTCTCAACGTGCTTGCCTACAGTTACTATCTCTTGTCTTTTGGATAGCAGCCATCTTAACATTTTTGAAGTAATATCTCATTGTGGTTCTGATCTGCATTTTCTAACTATTAGTAATGTTGAGTACCTTTTCATATACCACTTGGCCAACTGTAAATCATTACAATGTATACTTTAAATATAAATACAATACTATTTGTCAATTATGCCTCAATAAGGCTATAAAAATATTATTTGAGCACCTACTATTTCCTAGGTAATAGTCTAGGAAATACAGTAGTAAACAAAACACAAAAATATTTTCTGTCCTGGAACTTTCTTATCTGTTCATAGGAATGACAATACACGTGTGTAAATAAATAACATATTAGATGGTATATAGTCTTTGTAGAAAAATAAAACCAGGAAACGGGATAGGGAGTGCTGTGTAAATATATGGAAAGCCCTCCCAAGACAAAGAAACAAAGGAGCACACTATGGCTGGTACACAGTGGAGAGGAGGGAGCAAATGGAGGGAGATAATAAGGTCAGAGGGGTAACAGGGGGCAGATGCTGAAAGGCATTGCATTTAACTCTAAGAGAGTTGGAGAGCCATCAAAGGGTATTGCATAGGGAAGTTACATTACAATCCAATTTTTATTGTTTGTTGTTTTTACTATCATTCCTCCATTCTTTTTAATGGACATAACTTAATCGCACAGCTGAAGCTGAACTGGGTTTAGGCTGAGCAAGTCAGGATCCAGTAAAGGTAAAATGGGAAATTTAAAAAACTAAAATTTTAACTTTACTATCTAACTTTAATAAACACTTAATAATAATATACCAAAACGTGAGCTCCATGAGGGCAGGAATTTTGTCCGTTTTATTCAATGCTAGTCATCCCCGTGGCCAGACCAGTCCCTGGCACTAGTAGGCTCAACAGATTTTAATAGCTAAATACTTAGTTAGCATTAATACATAGTAAATTTAAAGTGACAAAACAATAATCACTACCTGCCATTTCTATAATCAACTGTTCTTCAAACTGGATTCTAAAATATTCTTCTGGGCTTCATGTGATCACAGTAATTGTCCAGGTAAACAGAATCTAATATTTCACTAGCTTTCTCACATATTCCAGCTCCTCTAAATGTATTTCCACTAATGTAGTGCCCAAGCCCACTTCGAAGTCTGATTTTGTAACATTCCTTTTGGCATTTAATTGTACCAACACAAATATAGAAGAACAACAAAAAACAACAATCTTTTGCCATAAAGAACGTTTCAGTACTTTTATCCCTGATGACAGAAACTCACTAATATAAATGCCTGTGACTTGTATTTAAATAGAGTAATCCCTCCTTATCCATGGAGCATATGATCCAAGACCACCACTGGATAGTACTGAGCCCTATAACTGTATACACTATGTTTTTTCCAATCATACAGATGATAAAGTTTAATTTATAAATTAGGCACAGTAAGATGAACAATAATAACTAGTAATAAAAGAACAATTATAACCATATACTGTAGTAAAAGTTGTATGAATGGCTTTGGGGGGTGATTACTAAGTAAAATAAGAGTTATTTGAACACAAGCACTGCAATACCACAACGGTTGACTGATAACTGAGAGAGCCGCTATAGCTGGATATGCTGGCCAAAAGGGATGAGTCACTTCAGAGGCATGACAGACAGGGAGGTCACAAGGATTCATCACACTACTCTGAACAGTGCACAATTGAAAACTTATGTATTTTTTATTTCTGGAATTTTCCATTTAATATTTTTGAACCATGGCTGGCTGTGGGTAATTGAAACCATGGGCAGCAAAACTGTGGATAAGGGGATTCTTCTACTATACAAAAAAGAAAGGAGGCAAATAGGATTCCAGGAAGTTGACTAAAAAATTTAAGTCTTCTTTGCTATCAGAGTAAAAACCAGAGAAATAATATTTGTTTATCTAAAAGTAAAACAGAAATAGATGAACAATACTAACCAGAAATATTCAATCAGGGAGAAATCTTCATTAGATATAGTGTCTCATTTTTAAATTACAGATGATGCTACAGCAAACTAAAGGTCCATCTTTCCTTTAGCTTTGAGAAATGTTCAATGAATTTTATTCAAATTAAATGTAATGTAATTTAAAAGTTTGTGTAACTTAAAAGTAAAACAACCAATGATCATCAAAGATGATAAACACTAAAACTTTCCTGCTTTTGAACTTTCTCTTTTACATTGGATGATATGTTAATGCTGTACTCAAAGCATTTGAAATCTGTCTCATGCAATTCTGCTATAGTAAAACTTTATGTTTGTATTCAGTGTGAAATATGAAAGAATGTGCTAATGTTATCCTTGAATATCTCAGGGCATCAGAACATAACAATATATTAATTTTAACAAGGTATCTTTGGCATATTTTAGATATATCCACATTTCCACTGGAAAATGCCCCTATCGGACATAATAGGCAATACAATATGGTGCCATTCTGGCCTCCAATTACCAACACAGAAATGTTTGTTACTGCTCCAGATAACCTGGGATACACTTACGAAGTTCAATGGTCAAGTAAGTATTGAAAATGTATTTTTACTGTGGAAATTTCCAAAAAAATATGTTGCCTTTACAGTAAAGTAATCACAGTATTTCTGAGACTTATATTTTCCACTTGGATTTAGACGTTTTCATTTAGATATTTATTTGGGGACAAAGAGAGTGAATTTGACATTTGTTGAGTGCCCACTATGACCTGGTATTGAGCTGATTATATAACACACTGTCTCATTTAATCCTTACAGTCCTCTGAGATAAGTATTATAATTTTCATCTTATAAATATGGAAGACAAGGCTTAAAGAGGATAACTGTCAAAGTTCACATTTTTAGTAAGCAGAGAAAATCAGTTTTGAGCTTAGGCCTGTGTAATATGCCCTAATTTTGCTACTATATAATTTTGTCTCCATTTATTTATGCTTAAAAAAAAATAGAGATACTCAGAGCTGTTTTCTCTGACATTTTGAAATTCAAGACTTTCTTGTTTAAGTGTAAATTTCTTTCTCAAGAAAAACAGTAGGGTATAGTGGAAGAGCATAACATTTCAATTCTGAAAGACCTGGATCCAAAACCAAATCTACTACCTACGAAACAAATGACCTTGGGCAAGTGACTCAGACATGAGCCATCATTTCCTGAGGTTTAGAATAGAAATAATAATAACTATCCGAATAGGGTCTACTCATTATGCAAAATAGGAAGTGCCTTTAAGAGGACAAATGCTATAATAGGTAATGTGACCAAGAAAAATTAAATATGAGGATTTCTGTAAAATGCCTAAATTTAGGGTACTGAATTTTTGGTGTCAGCTATTATATCAACTATTATACTATTTATTTTTTGCTCTCGTTTTATCTTTCAAATAGGTCGGAATTTTAGTATTTCGGAGATTATTACAATAGCAGTAGTTGCTGCTTTATTACTGGTTGCAGTCATTTTTGTGGGTGCTTCTTGTCTGATTCGTGCCAGAAACAAACTGGATGAAGCAAATCAGCCTCTCCTTGGTGATCAGTATGAACACTATACTGAAGAATATGAAACACTCAAGAATTCTAATCAGTCTATGGTCTAACTATAAAATACTTATTCTCTTAGGCATTAGTATCTATCACAAACCCCTGGTTGAAAAATAATAGATTGAGTTACTAACTGTATTTTCTTTCACTCTGTTACTTTCTTATGCATACACATGTTGGAATTAAAGTTGCAGATGTTATTTTCCAGAGCTGGGGAGAGTCACAATCTTTTCAGTGGGCTCGGTTTTCCAGCTCTATTTAAAATGGTAGGTTGCCCCAACTCCATGGTATTTAAGCAGAAAGTGTGAAGATTTTTGGCATGTTTTAAAGGTCAACTATATGACAATGTAAACAAGCTGCTTCTGTTTTATGTGTAAGAAAAAAAAAGCATGATTGATAGCAAATCTCTGATTAAAATACACGAGTAGGCATTTCTACAATGTTAAAATGTAAATACATTTCCATTCATTGACACTGACCAACAGATATAAAGGGAGCCACATTTATTAGTTAAAATAATTTATGCGTTGTTATAAATGGAATCCCAACTAACTTCTTTAAATTCATCTTCCCCTTTGGGCATCAGCATATGTTATTTAGTTTAAGGTTCAAGGCCACAATAAAATCACAATCTTGGTCACACTTTGGAGAGGTAAAAGTTTCATTTTGTTTAAGAGATAGCTGCTATTGCCTATTTGCCTCTGTGTTCTCCTGCCTCTCGATGCACTGAAAAAGGAACTACCCATTCCTACATTTCACCTCCCAATTCCTCTTCTAATACCTTAGAGGTCCACAGGAAGGCACAAAGATGTAGAACATGCATCATAGTGCTCTACGAATAGCATTCAGTTAATTGTATATGATTCAAATAGCATTCTCTTATCATTTATCAGCCTTTTATGCATTTTGCAAATAAAATATTAAAATATTATTTCATTGTTCCCTTTTTATACCTTTCTGCAAAAATGTCATTATTTTTCTTTCTATCTTCTATCATGCAGTATTTTTTTCTCTTTTTGATCTTGTGCTACTAAAACAATGAAACAATATTCCCAATGAAGAGCTCTATAGGCTGGTCATAGTGAACAAATATTTTAACTAAAATTGGTAAAAAAAAAAAAAAAGAAATAATAACATTGGTAAGCATACACTATAGAAAATGGCTAGTCAGGTATTCCCAACTCAATAAAGAGAAGCAAGATTAAAGTTAGGTATACCCGATTGGTTACTGGATTTCCCTATATTAAGCAATTTTAAGGCCATGTATACAACATAGACAAAATGCATTAGTGACATAGAATGCATATAGCAATAACATTTTTTTAAACTTTCAAATAGCACTACTCAATTCATTCTCTTGGAATACATTTTGATTCATACACTGATCTATTTTTTTCAGATAAATTATTGTATAACGTAGGTTGTTTTATATAAACATCAATGAAACTAAGTCCTCCATTTCATATTCCTGGAGTGATTTGGAGTAATTTACTAATTACCCATTTCATAAACATTCATTAAGCACATACTAGGTTTAAAATGTAGTTCAAGATAATGTGGATTTGGAGGGGAGAAAGTCAGGAATGCCAAATTGAGAAGGTCACATCTGACTCGGGCCTCAAGGAGTGCCAATGGATTTACCAAATATAACATTAGAGAAGGGCATTCCATGCAGAAGTGACAGCATCAGCAAAGTCACAGAAGTTTGAAGAGCGTGGAACATTCAAAAATATAAAGTAGGTCAGTGTACTTAGCACATAGCTTTCATGGAGAAGAGTCGAAAAATAAATTAGGAATGAAATCAGAGTATTTTATATGATATCTTAAGAAATTTAGAATTCATTCTATAGGTAAGAGGGAATAGGAGCAAGTCACAATAAAGCATATTTTATAAAGAGAATAGTGGTGGTGATATTTGCAAATAATGTTGCTTAACAATAAGAATAGAGACTAAGTGACCAGCTAATATCAAATAGCTCATGAGAGAAGGACCTGTCTCAAAACATAAACATTAATTCTAAGAAGCCCTAACTCTAAGGTAATTATACCCATTATCTTATAAATACAGCTTTGATAATTTCTTCCTAAATGTGTTGCTTTATTTTTCTTTCATTCAAGACCTTCTATTTATTTTACAGCTCTGTAAGCTCTTACGACTTATCTTGATCTAGTGACCATTACTCTTCTGATAATATGCTACGTTATTCATTGCAAATAGTACTCATTTGCAATCTTGGATATTTCCCACTGTTCTCAGTCCTCCAGTTCTCTTATAAAACTTAGTAAATGCAATTATTAAGTGCTCGCTGGAAATTACATTCCACACCACTTAAACCCTTCCTTTCCTGTTACTTAGCACCCATTGTATGCCAATACCACAAATTAAGCTAAACTCAATAGTCTAAACAGTCAGTAAAAATGCCTGAATGCACCTTTCTATACAATCAAATATGAAAACCTATTACTTTTGTGTCCCTCTGAGGTTATATCCTGTCTTCATTTCTAGAAGCAGATTTCAGAGATGGTGCTCAGTCACAGTTCCATGTAATTTTAAAATTGAATGCAGGAAAAAAGAAGATCCGGGCTATTAAAATCACAATTCCAGGGTTTGGTTATGAAACATCAGTTCTGCCCTCACTCCATGAATAGCCAATAATGTCATGTATTTTGTTTTTTGCCATTTCCTAGTCCAAATTTTTATCAATCAGCCAACCAAGGGAACATCAAGGTGGGCAGAGAGAGCTAATGTGAAATAAACAACAACAAAAAAAAAAAGAAAGAAAGAAAATATATTAACAAACCAAGAAAGAGCCTGATATGAAAGAGATGAAATTTAAAAGGGAAAATGCAAAATCTAGCACTTGAAAAGCACAATTGCAAAATTAAAGGGTAGGGAAAAACAGAAGCTAGCAGAATTATTTGCAAAATAACCAGGAGATTTTAGTGGATTTCAAGTTCAATTCAAGCCAATACTGCAATGAGACCAATAATGGGGGGGAATGCTATGTAACTGATAAAGGGGAAAAATATATGCAAATATTAATGTACTGTGCTTCATTAATACAGATACAGAAATTTGTGGTGTTTGAGACACACGTGGAGTATTTATTCAACTTTAAGGCCACCATTTAAGGGGAGTGTTTACAAATTGGAATGTGCCTATTCCTCTTTTAAGTGATATAATGATATAACTACTAGCCGACGAGAGAATCTTAGAAATCACCTTTGAATTCTACCATCTCTCTTAATCCTCATGTCCAACTCATTAATAATTTGTTAATATAATCACTATCCATTGACCAGTATATCCTGAGTGTTGCACCCATCATCTAAGACAGCAGTTCTCAATTAGAGAATGATTTACCCCCAGGAGACATTTGGGGGTCGGGTTGCTACTGGCATACAGTGGGTAGAGGCCAGGGGTGCTTCTAAGCATCATAAAATGCACAAAACAGACACCCTCACACACACAACTTCAAAAGACTATCTAGCAGAACATGTCAACAGTGCTGAGATTAAGAAAACCTGATATAACGCTACAAGGATAAACAAGTTTCATCATGCTGCTGGCCTCACAGAGCTTAGTATCAAATGGGAGAGAATGACAAAAACCAATGTACTCAATTAGGGATGCGTTATTTTCTCACAAAATAGAAAGCCTGAAAGGTGAAGTCCAAGGTGGGTAAGGGAGCACAATGATGCCTTCAAGGGCTCAGTCTCTTTCTAACTTTTCTCCACCACCACTAAAGTGTGTTTTGATTTTTACCCTTTTATTGACACTGTCAGGGCTGTAAAAACATCTCCAGATTTATAGCTGTCCCACTCAGAAATTTTCATTCAGAAATGAATATCCTCTCAAGAATTCTGACTCTATCTCATTAGAATTTTATCATATGGCAAGGGAATGTAAAACATTGAAGGGCTTTTTTTTGTTGATTGGTTGTTTGGTTAGTTACCATCCTGAATAAAATCAAAATTCTAATAGTATGGGATAAAAAAGAATGAAGTTGGGATTGTGGCAACCTTGACTATTACCATAACAAGTAACACGCAATCAAGATATTTAATTGTAGCAGTATGAAAAAAAAACCCCACAGTGTTCATTCCTTAAAATATATATATATCATATATATATATGATATATATATAATTTATATATCATATATATATATATATATATATATGTTGGGAAGTATCTGATTTAGATAGGAAGTATCTAGAGAAGATTAGCTAAAGCAGTGGAAATTAAGCTGAAACCTAGAGCGTGGGAAAACTGCTGGGAAAGTTAACCAGAAAGGGCTAAGATAAAAGCCAAGTCCTCTTTACCACAATAGAATGTTAAAACATGCTACCTCTAAATATTTTAAGAAAAGAAATACAAGTTTAAATATACTGTATAGAACTAAGGAGGCAAACTCAGAAAAATCAACCTGAAGAGCTGACAATTATCGAAATTTGGGAGGTATGATTTGTGTGTGGAGAGGGTGCGGGCAGCGAAACTTTGCAGTTCTTCATGCGCCCTGTAAAGAAGAGAGTGACTCTTCTGGAAATCAGATTAAAGAATAATGCATTTCAAAAGATATATCACTAAGCAGAAGCTTATCCTTAATTTTTTCTCCTATGAAATAAGAATCTTTAGACTTTTAATTTGGGGGGAAAAGGAAAGAAAGAACAATGAATAAAATCTGACATGCCTTTCAAATAGAAAGTGTTAGCCAAATGAGTAAGACCAGTTATTAATCAATTAGATTGAACAGATTATAATGGAAATATATTATTATATTTCTGTAGGTTTCAAAATACAGGGTTCTGACATGTCCTAAAATGTATTTCTACAATGTTCTTTCCTTTTAGTCTTCAGATTTAGCCTGACTTTTATCAACATAACTGCTAAACACCGAATAGAATATTACCACAAGATGGCAGCTTTGAACATATTTCAAAATGTTGATTCTGAACATCAAATGCCTCCAACTGAAATGAACAATAAAGATATCTGCTATTCCTCATCTGGTTTAAAAATGTTTGTGTGATCTTTAAAAGTAGAAAAAAAAATGCAATTTTTTATTTAGTTGGAAAAATGGCTTGTGAGATTAGTAATCTTCACATGGTTTAAATTCCCAATGAAATAATAATAACAAAAATGTGTCTTCTTACTGACTAGAACTCTCTTGTATACATTATCCTCCTTCATCATGATCAGTTATCATCAGGCCCTAGCAGGCCACAAAATAAAGAATGAATGGCATATCACCCAAATGGTTTCACATGTAATAGATGATTATGGCAGCACCAAAGACAGTGATAATTTGTGACAAGGATGAAAGGGCTAGCCAGCTATGGGAACCAGCTCTGTTCAGCCACTGAGACTACAATTAATGAAAGTCATGGTTAACTTCGTAAATGTACACCTAAAGCTGTCAAAGAAAAACTGCCCTAATAGAAGGCTAAAAAAAGTAACAATTCATATTTAACTTAATTTGAAAATAATCCAATTTGTAGAATAGTTGCAAGAATTTAATGAACTGCTACATACAACGCACCTAAATTTACCAATTGTCAACATTTTGCACATTTTCTTTGTCACTCTATTTCCATATATACGTATGTACATATTTATATCTTTCCTTAATAAGATTGAAAATCAGAGATATCATGACCCCTTGTCCCTATTTCCGTGTATCTCCTAAGAATGGCATTCTCTTACATGACCACAATATGACTGTCAAATTCAAGAAATTTAATATGGATGCAATACTATGTTCTAATATTTGGTCCATATTAAATTACTCCAACTTCCAACCGAGTCCTTTAGAGTGATTTTTTAAATAAATAACTCAACACTTTGTAGTATGACATAAAAGTAGTACGACATCAAAATATCAAAAACATAAAAAAAGTATTTTAATTAAAGCCAAGTAAACCCAAAGA